TTTTTTTTTTTTTTGCAAGAGTGCAATACTCTTGCAGTTTTATTCTTGTTGTTGCAAGATTCTTGCATTTTGAGTCTTGGTCTTGGTCTTGTTCTTGCAAGTCTAGTCTTGTTCTTGTTCTTGGTCTTGCTAAAAAAGTCTTGGTCTTGTTCTTGTCAATTGAGTACAGTCTTGATGTTGGTCTTGCTGATATTATTACAGTCTTGGTCTTGTTCTTGGTTTCGTAGAAATGCAAGACCAAGCCAAGACCGCAAGAACAAGAGTAATTCTGCTCATCACTATTTATATTTGTATTTGCGGCGCCTTCTTAGTGTTCGGCTCGTCGGTTGTCCGCNTGCAACCATTTGTTGCGCAATATAAAAAAATAATTTTTTTCAAATATTAAAATAATAAAAAAAAAAATTAATTGTTTATATTTGTATTTGCGGCGCCTTCTTAGTGTTCGGCTCGTCGGTTGTCATTTTTTCGGTCGCAAACATAATGTTTATTGGAACACTAGTTAGCACAGTAGCTCAATGGGTCAGTCAGGAACGACTGGCTCCTCTGGATACGTCATTGAAAAGAAAAAATTGTTATTTTAGTAATAAATGTTATATCTTTGTTATTCGGAAATATTTTGTTCAGAATCAGGTATTTTAATATTTATAATTTTTCAAAAAATGCTAAATTTAAATTAATCCTAAAGATATTAGAATCTGCGCTAAATAGTATTTTGGAGTTTAGTTTAGAATAACGCAATTGACTTCTAGTAATTTTTTTAAATTTTGGATTTGGTTGGTTTGATCTATAGATAAGAATTTTAGAAATTATTGTTCACTGTTACAAAAAATGATATTACTAAATTTCAAATATTGTTGTATATGATCAACTTTACCGTAATCATGTTCGTATATTATTGCCATCTTTGTCCAATTTAAGAAAGAAATAACATCATTATAAGCTTGGTTAAGAAGATTTTGTTCAGGATATAAATTCACCGATAGACGTTTCGGTTCATTATTTAAATCTAACCTTGCTTCCATATGAGGTAGATCAAGAGCATCACACATTGAATGTACATGCGATGCTAAGTAACTATTGCTAGGTCCGAATAACGCTGTGATACCAAGATTTAACTGGTCGCACGCTAAAGTTATAGTTTAAAAAAAATATTTAACACTTAGAATAGGCTTGTTTCTAAATTAAAATATCTTATTGAGTTTTACCTGTTTTTAAAGTAATAAAACTGTTATCGTTTGGCACGTGTTGGATTTCATATGAAATTTCAGTATGTGGCAAAAGGTTGATATCTTGGTTAATTTGATTCACTGAAAATTTAAATGCTAACTCGACAGAATTATTAATTTGGTCATTTGTAAACAGAGCTCCTGCAAACATTTTTTCTCATCAATTAAAAGTTCAATGTTAAATGACCCTTATAAATGATTAACCAATAGATGATTTTAAATAATAACAGTACACAGTTACAAGAATTATAGTTTACTGTGCGAAAATGTTCAGTTAATCGCCTTTTTAATTTGAGCAAGTACTCGCACACATTTATGAGTTATTCTATTATCATCAAAACTTTTCCTTGGATGTACTTAAAACGCGGTATAAACTACTATACTTGCGTGGAAGTTATGCATAAAAGTATAGTAAGACCACTATAGTAAGACTTTTTTTTATTTAATTTACTTTTAATATGAACTTTATTAGTTTGCAGGATAAAAATGTTATTTTTCAAAGTTTTTATCGACAAAATTAAACGTATAAAATTAATAGAATTCTATTTAGTATTAAAATATTCTCTAGCTCAAATAAATAAATACAAAGCTATATGAATAGTTAAAAATTTATAAGATTAAAAAATGTCGAGTGCTTTCCATTTGCTAAATTAAAAATCATTATTTAATACGAATTATCTCGACTATTGAATATTTAGTTCTTTCAATGATATTAAAATAATGTCTTATTGATAAAGGTGTTAATGGGATATTTGTTATATTCGGACTAACTTCAAAATAAGCGAGATTTTCTCTTGAGTCAGAAAAACCATATAAATTTTTCATTTCACATTGCGATGATAAATCGGATATGAAGCATTAAATGAGTAATTTTCCAGTTTCATTAAGTGCCTCATGATAGAGTTCCAACTGTAAATTGAAATGTCCATTACCGGTGTACGAACCGTTTCTGAATTCATATATTTTTTCTAAATTATAATGTGAATACATATTCCACGCCCAATGAACAAAATATACATTATGTGTTAATATACATTATTGATTTTATGTAAAAATGCTTCCATTTCTAAGTTGAAAATATAAATGATTTTAAAAAAATTGGTTGCCACATAATTATTAAACTTAAAATAGTGAAATATGTGTATGAGAAATAAATAATAATTGAATATCAATTTACAGTTTTAATGTATAATCTATAAAATTAAATAAGTGAATATTGTTTCCAGATTTTTTACATTTTTTTCGTGTTGTATGAAATATTTTATGAATCTTATTGTATTATTTAATATTGAACTTGATTATTTATCTAACGTATTATATAGATATGAAAATAAAAGATTTTATTTCCAATGCTTATCTCAAGTTGTAATAAAGTATACTGAATTTTTATTTTCTTGTAACTGTGAAAACGAAACAAAGAAAATTTGGTACATAGCTACAGTTGCTATCAAAACGAGAATCATTACAAGCAATAAACAAGAAAGTCGTTAAACAATGTATTCTTATAGGAATCAATTTCTACTCTATAAATCACTTATTTCATAGTAAATTTCTGAAAATCAATATGCTATTATTTTACATCTTTAATAAAAGTTAGATAACTAAATTAATCGTCAGAAGACTTAATAAAACATATGAAATAATTTTTTTGTTTTTGAAATGAACGAAAATATTTGCTATTAGGCTTTGCTTAGCTGGGAGCTCGGACCCAGACCCGGTGCCCTGCGGACCTTATGCGCCTACTGTGCGTTAGGCCCTTCAGGTTGTTCTTACAGGTAGGCCACTGATTCCAATAGGAGTATCCGGCTACACGGTAACGATAAGTGTTATGCAGGAAAAATATTACTCCAGAAGCAGTTAAATAGAAATATAGTAAACATTTAATTAATAAAATGAGTAAAATTCATAAATAATAAATAGTGAAATGTATAAATATTACATTTTTTGACTAAGGTCATCACAATATTTCCATTTTAACACTATTTTTGGTAACATTAATATTAATGAAATAGTGTTATTAAGTTAAAAGTAATATGTTGAAATGAATACTATAATATAGATTTTCAAATAAAAGACTATATATTAAAATTTTTATTAGAATCTAATACAATTTTCATTAACACTTAATATTAAAACTGTAGAAATTGTACTACCGTAAAGAGAAAAATTGTTGGTACGGTAAGGCATACTGTAATAATAAAAAAATTGTTTTAAAAGAAAAAGGAAATAAAAAAAGTTATTAATGAAAATAATAATAAATGAACTTTTCTATCATACAATACTTATTTTTTATACATCCTATACGATAATTATATTAGATACATGAAATAATAAAAAAATAAATAAATAATTTAATAATATGACTCTAAAATATTTAAATGTACTCCTAGGGTACCTTTAAATACCATGTTATTAGTACACTTGTATAAAATTTAAACAAAATTGACATGCACAAACCAAAATAATATTCTACTAAAAACTATGCGCATAGACTTAAAAAAATAAAACTCTTAACTTGGTCAAAAATTAAAAGATTTCAACGAAATTTTCAGGGTATCTTTGGAATGTCTCTAAACAAGTCTAGTAAAAATGTCAGAATTTAAATCGAAAAACATTGGCGGCTATGAGCGTTTTTGATAAAATTTTTAAACGCTCACAGTATGTCTAAAAAAATTGATTTCATCTTTGCGAATAATTTTTTTAGAATAACGTCGTCGAACTCTTTCATTAAAAAAAAAAAATTGAATATTGTACGTCGTTAAAGTAATTTTACAAGCATTGGCTAATTTTTCAATGTCTTATTATTTAATAAGATTGTATTTTTCTTAAAAATAAAAATCTACTAAAAATCGTTTGAAAATTAATGGATTTTAAAATTGCAATAACAAAGTTTGTATATATTCAACTTTCATTTTATTATTAACAGTTAAGTTCTACCATAACAATTCTTATTACAAAGAACAAATTATAATAAAGTGACGTGTTGTGTATAATGTCATAAACGTTTAAAGACACGCTGTGTTGTGCATTCTGAATTTTTTGTAACTACAAAATTCATTTGTATTATAAATGTTCATTATTTATGATTAATGATTTTATTTTGAGGTTTAATAGTGCTATAAATATTCTAACATGGTTTTACTTTTTGGCAAAAATCAAAAAGAAAAGAAATTGCTCTCAACTGTATGAGCAGTAGTTTTAATATTCACTTAAAGGAATTCATTTCGCATTTTATTCTTACATGTTTTAATTTATCATAATAGTTTTTCATTAAAAAGTTGTATGTAATTAATAGTATAATATTTCTGTAAGTAAAAGTAAAAATCCAGATATATATCTTGATACGTACATTAACTGCAATAATATTACAGTTATTATAAGTGACAATATATTATTTTACCTATTTTAATTTTGTTCAGCGCCACCACATATTTTATCAGCATAAAAATAATTGGCCACATCATCGAAATTCCTTTAACACTACAAGACATATCTCAATCGTTTTACTTGAATATTATAACAAAATAAATAAATTATTAATGACTAACTATATTTTAACTTAATATTTTAGAGTTGATGATTACTACTAGCCGGAGTTCAATACAACTTCAAAAAACATAACTTGATCGGCCAATCGGTTCTACCACAGCGTAATGTTTTATGTAGACAACTTTTCTGGCTTCAAGCTTGTTCTACATATACATACAAAAGGAATAATTCAATCAGACCACCAGAGTTCTCTTCGTGATCGACAGTATCAGTAAAATCTGTACGAACAAATTTAAATGCACATAAAATATTTACAGTTTGTTCAGTTTTTTTCATCGTAAAAAAATCGTAAATAATTTTTATTCGTCGCCTTGTTGGTCTATTTCTTATTTCAAAGACATTTAATTAATTTTGTCTTCTTGTACTAGGAAACAAACATTTTAGGTTCTGTCTAAGAAAGGTTATCCACAAAGGGATGGCCATGACAATAGAACGTAAGTCCGGTTGCTAGTCACGTAGATGAGTCTGCGTTTACAAAACATCGTTTGTCAAAGTCAAAAAGTATGAAATATAACTTTATAACTCTCCAAATAGTCCACAGCTATAGATCTTTGCGTAAAGCTCTGAGTAACATTGTATAAGTATATTACTATGTAATATGAGTAACGTAGTAAACTAAGTGGTGAATATCTATATAAAGGTAATTCTAAAATAGCAAAGTTTTACAAATAGAATTATTCCAAAAATAATTCACCGAAATAAGTTTTTGGCCTGATGTATTTTTGATTTGGAAACTTTTTGTTTGTTATTTTTCAATTGAAGTTCATGAAATAAATGTAGAGGCATCAATAATGCAAATAAACTCAACAGTTGTTATGGTTATTTTGTAACATTAGTATGACTATTTTTTAAGGACATTACAGTGAAAAAAAATTTTATATTGATAGTAAGTTCCATTTTTGTCTAAATTTTCTAGTTCAATATCAAAAACCTTTTTTTATAAAATTAATACTACTTATCAGTAATAAATTTTAAGACGTCATTTACGATTGTGAACAATTTTACTAAACACGATGATTGTTATCATCGTAATAATGTTATGTGAGATTTCTAAGATATCATTATTAAATAATGTAATGTTAAAAAAATGCAATAACTTTACAGTCAAAATATTTCATAATTAAATATGGTAATAATTAATTAGTAATTTCAGTAATTAACTTACCAATTAGAGGTTATATTTAAGTAAATGTTACTCTAGTAGTTATTTTCTTTTAAGCTTTTACTTTACCGGTGAAATAAGGAAAACTTGTATAGCTCATAGCAATAGAGTTGAATGTATACATAAATAAAAACATGAAGAGTTTGAAATTGAACTACGAGTCTCGTATATCAGCTTGTAAATACAAAACTATTTCCGAATTTTTTCTTCCTTGTTATATATTGCGTTAAAATTCAACTTTCATATACATATACATTTATTTATCTATTACAGATGTGTATTCATTATGATAATATATTGATTACAAATCAATTACATTTGTATTACATATATTATATTTTTCAATTAAGTTTTACAATTGGTCTCATAGAGAAGTTTAGTTATTCAATGAAATAAAACTTTTAATATTTTAATAAATAATGTTACAGTTTTTATTTGATTGTTTGTAACAAACAGTAGTGGATTTTCAAAAATTTTCTGGAGGAGGTTTATTAAAAATCATATTTATTTGTAAAATATAAATATGAATCAAGATAACTTCCCTATGTATTTTGAAATATATAAATATCAGCAAAAGCGCAACCAGAATCTTCTTTATACTTTTATCTACTAGCGCGTTACCTTCGTAAATTAAGATTTTAATTAATTCATTATTAAAATTTATTTTTTATTAATATTTTGTCTATTTACAGTTTTTTATTAATTTTCAGATCATTTATATTTATACGTCTGATAGTGAGCTATGTTTGTTATGCTGTATTTTAAAATAGGATATCTTAACTTGGTATTGCTGAATTTTTAATCAAGTCTACTCTTTTCTCTGCTTTTGATTTTAATTTCTGTTGAAGTTTGATAACTAATTTGTATTCAATGTTGATTTATTAAATATTATGGTACCATTAAACGTCAAATATCAACTCAAATAAAAAATAATTAATTAACGAAAAATTCAAGGAATCTAAAAGTGAATTGAAATATTGGAATAACAGTGTTACAAATTTTGTGTGTAACATTTATTGTGTATTGAAATAACTATACAGATGTAATGTCAAATAATTTGTTTTTTTATTGGTTTGATTATTATTTATTATTATAAATGAAATGTAGGTGAAATCATAACATCAATTCATTCAAATATTTACATCGCATGAAGCACTATACTTTTATAATAATAATTTTTCTTTTTAAACGAGGTAGCACTAATCGATTTGAATTTCGTGTTATCACTTAGTCGTCGAGCGATTGGATGAAATGAATTAAAGTCGGCAAAGTAAAAATTAATGAAGTTTTTGTTGAAAATCTGATGAATGGCTTAGTAAGTAAATAACATATGAAGGTGTTATTATCATTATTTTTATTATTGTCGGGAAGTCGAAACCACAACTACGAGACTGTTATTGTGGGCTATAATTTTCGTGGAACCACAATGGGTGGCCGCTACCAAAAAGGTCATAAATATTGGAGTCGTAAAGGTTACTCTCTTTTGCTTTATATCTAAAATAAGCTGTAAAAAATCCCAAACACGTGCGTTATTTTCCGCCTAAAATATCACATTATCTCGAATAAATAACATTGGATTTCGCACCGTGTATAAATCATAATGATGCTGATAGAGGCAAAGAAAAAAATTGTTGTATTTTATCAGAATGAAACCCTTGGGAGAACAAGTACACAATACTTATTGGATACCTATTCATAAAAAGTTTCGATATGTTCATTACATTATGTTGCGTACTTTAAATTTTATGGGTTTTTTTTGACAAATAACCGTTTAATTGTAGGTAGTCAAATAAAATGTTATTTGTTAAATGATAAAAATAGGGTTTTAAAAGATAAAAATTTCAACATATCGACGAAAGCCTATATTACAGTGTAGACTTGGGGTCATTGAAGCCATACGCGTACATTATATCACATCAATGCGCTTTTACAATAACAGTAATGGTTAAGAAATCTACACACAACACAAAAAGAATAAAATATCCCTATGAATTTTTTCAGTTCTCGCATAATAAAAGATACCATTTAAATAGCTAGCAAGTGAATTATTAAGTTCTCAATCAATATCAAATAAATAATTTATTTATTTACTTACTTATTTCGTTTAGGAGACTTAATAAAAAAAACAACTATTAACGTATTAATTAATTATCCAATAATAAAAAAATGGTAGTAATAAAACATTTCATAGTGTTCTGTTATAAAATAACTCTTAAACAGGAACCCTTTTAAAAGCTTTTAATGACTTTATGTTTTATACACTTGTTGGTCATTTTGCCGTAGTACAACCTTTTAATCAATTAAAAAAAGGTAAAAAATTAGAACTACTTACAAACACATGTGTTATTAAAATGTGATGAAGTTTACAGACAAATAAATATTGAATTCTTATTTTTTTTAATTGTTATAAAAAATTATGTATGTTTGCCTTTTTGTTTGACGTTTAAAAATTTGTTAAAAAAGTAAATGTCTTTTTACTCGAACACATTAAAAACTAGAAAATAGCCTATTATGATTTGTAACTAGTGTTATCTATGTACATAAAAATACATCGAAGAGTCTTAAACATGAAAAAAAATTATATTACCCGAAACTGTAAAAAAATATATTTTAGAATTTATTGAGACTTTTAATTAGTTAAATTTGGCAATATTGAGTTTTCATATTACCAATAGTTAACGAAGATAAAATAAAAAGTTGAAACCTGTTATAATTCTTATTATTATCAATTTAAACAAATCTTTGGAATATAGGATAAATCATAAGTCGTGAAAAATACAATAATAATTTATATGGTTTACGAATTACGGCTTATCCTATGGCATATATAAAAATATGATAAATATAATATAATACATGACGGTAAGAACGTCAACGTCAATTATACGTTGATAGTATGGGGTTAACGTGACACAGCTTAAACAAGAATTTATGTGTCGACAAAAACGTTAAATAATTTCAACCAAAGAATGTTCGCACCTGTCACAACCGTCATTAGTATTTCGGTATTCATAATTATTTTATGTAAATTTTTTATTTGTTAAATAAAAACAATTTATTTTATTTGTTTAGAATATTTATAATTTTTAGTGATAAATACATACACGGTTATTAAGAAAAAAATTATTTTTATTATCATTGATCAAATGTATCTACTCAAGGCTAACAAAAGTAATATTTCACTTAAAAAATTTGGACCAATAATTAAAATAATCAGAAATTATTAACAATATAAATAATGACTAGTGATGAGGAACAAGTGCTGTTTTTTTTTAATTAGACATTTCTCTGTTTCATTTTATCTCCCGTTTAAGTATTAAAATGTTAATAACTTCTGAAATATTGGTCTAAAAGTTGTTATCGATCAGCTATTTTCTTAATTAGATCATTATCAAATAAATAAGCTTATTTTATGTTACCATTTGAAATATTAAAATTGATATTCTTTTATAATATAAGGAATGATCATAATAAGACACTTACTTGATTGATAAATTGAGGAAAATATGTAACTAAAAAAAAACAATAAAAAAATTATTAGTATTATTTTTATTTTTCGGTTAATTAATAAGTCAATGATAAATAATCACCTTGTATACGTAAATATACTCGGAATAAGGCAAGAGAATTTCGGGTATGTTAACAATTAAATGGATGAAGGAAGCTGTGAAATAAATGCAGCCGCTTTATCGGCTATATTCATCCATTTACACCTGAGATAGAATCGATTAAATATATTTTTCGTTATTGTAAGATATAATCGTAATTTCCCTTAGGCCACTATTAAGGCCAGTGTATTATACTTTTGTATACGAACAAAGTAACCACAATTTTACAAAGGAGAATTTGAAAACGGTAAACAAATACTCTTATGAGTTCCTAACAATCATTAACCATTGATATATTTTTTTATATTTTATAAGTTTATAATTTAAATGTAACAGATTCATATAATATCC